ACCGTCAGCATATTTGGCATTATAAGTCTCTTCAAAAAACTATATACCAATATTCATTTGGATAACATTTTCGGTTACACTGGTAGAAAAGTTTTTTAAAAGGTTTCGATTCCACCTAGTGTCGTCCTTCACCCTGGAAACCACTTTATTTTTATTTATTTATTCTTTATTGTACACAAAAAATTACAGGTCTACTTCTAGCGAACCCTGAGTGGAAAGGAGCATAAATTACCAACCAGGAGGAAATAGTATAGTTGTTTCTATTAAGAAATAATAAATATATTGACATATATACAAAGGAACTCATATAATTAAAATCAAAATACATATCTGTATATAATAATACATATACATATATACATAACCATCTTAATTAATTCTTTATAAGTTCATTCATCATCATCATCAATTCAGCCTTTAACTGTCCACTGCTGAGCATGGACCCCCCTTGGGGGATTTTGCCAGTAGTTATCATGCTTGGCAGGCGGATTGGCAACCGCAGTTACGCTTTAGAGATGTTTTAAGAGAGACGCTGCTGTCCATCCCTCGCCCTTTCTTACTCGCCTCTTACGACAACCGCGGAAAAGGACGGGGTGGCCTATTCTATGTCGGGACCGTACGGCAAATAGTTCATTACTATAGACCACTGACCTGCTTCATCCTCACCTATCATCCCTCACTAGTGCCCCGCCAGTGTATACCGATAGCACAGGTGGGTTTACCAGTTCATTATCATTCATTAAAGTATAATGTTAGGCAAAATAAAAGATATTGTTTTTTTTTTCTTAGTTTGATATATTTAGTTAAACTAGGTGTCTTCTCCTCTCTATTTTTTTAATGGGTGATAATGGAATGGTAACCCCACCAGCGCTATCGGTATACCCCGGCGGGGCACTAGTGAAGGATAATAAGTGAGGATGAGACAGGTCAGCTAGCCCATCGTGATGAATTTAACAAGAATTGTTCACGATGGTTTTCAGAGGGACTTACGTGGAGGTCGACCTAATAGGGCATATTGCTAGCAATGGGGCTGTCAAATTCCATTGCTAACAATGCCTTTCCCTCCTGTCCTCTCTATTTCGGACACCCGAAAAAAAAGTTATTGGTAAGTTCGAGAAGAGCGGATCGGTTAATAAAAACGTTTGCATCCATTCGTATCGGCATTATTTACAATTTTCATGAAAGGTTTGCGTAAACATTACGGTTTCGATGCCAGGCACCACTGTCACGGGTAATTTTTTATTACACACCGTATAAATAAATGGTCATGTGTGTATGTGTGAAATATTTTAGGAATTTTCCCCAACTTGTTACATATTCCTGTAGATAGACTAAGTTCGGCGTTCCTACCTGCACTCTATATTTATGGGCAATAAAGATAAGAGTTATGTAACAGCATTGCAGATACTGCAAATATAATGATTTCATATGGTAGAGAAGATACATACATCATATTGCGTCCAGTTATTGTATAGTATAAGAAAAAAATATAGAAAAATATAAAGATTATTGAAAAAAAAAAAAAACTAAATTTAGTTTTTTGTTTAGTTTTGTATATAAAATTGTTACTGTATGGGTTACGTGGTAAAAAAATAGTTTTGTAATTATATTGAGGTATCTATATTTATTAGAAAATTTCGCGCTTCTCTTTATTAAAAAAAAAAAAACGAATGATGTTTGCTCATCGTTGTTTAGTTTCATGAGTTTCATCACTGAATTTTGTTTTTCTATACTATGACTTTAAAAAATAAAAAAGAAATATATTCTGTGCTACATAAACCATACATAAAGTATCCTATATGCTAATTAAGTATATAGCCTACTCGTGTACCAAGTTTTATTCAAATCCGTTTAGTAGTTTTTGCGTGAAAGAGTAACAAACATCTATCTAGGGATTGTCACCTATTTAGGGAGCAGAGTTTCACCTATATTTAAAAATGTTTGTAACATTTATTTTTAAATAAACTTATTATTATCATTCCGTCCATCTATCTAACGTTACAAATTTTCGCATTTATTGTATTAGAATTACACCATTTTTTAAAATATGGGAATAACACTACTTTTTTCATACAAATATTTTGTAGCGCTTTACATAGTAGTAACCTAATAAAATCCTTACTAATATAAATGTGAAAGTGTTTGTTTTTTACCTTATAGCGCCTTTACGGTTTAACCAATCATTATGAAATTTGATTTACACGTACTATATGAGATGAGAAAGGATATAGGCTTATAGGTCAGTAAACGTATTCTGGTCACGCAGGCGAAGTTGCGGATAAACATTAGTCTACTATAAAATATAATGCTATATCAGTTACGATTTTTTAATTTCTATATACCTACGCACAAAAATGTATCTTGACGTATCCTATATTTAATTACTTAATAAATAAGTTTTTACCCACTTTTCACGAAGTATTTGTATGAAGACACTGTCTACAACACTTGTATATAAAAAAAATCGACGAAGTATGTAATATTTATGACACTCCTTATTCCCACATAATCGGACGTGTGACCTGACACCGTAATAAGCGTGAACGAAAAACCATAACAAAATATAAGCTAAATAATATATGAAAAATTAAATTGGCTGGATTAGCATACCGGCTTACCATAATACGCATAAAACTCATTTCACGTGACGGTTGGCTTACGTAGTAAACATGTAAGTCAGCGTTAAATATATGAAGCAGATTGCGCATATGACATTGTACATACTGTAATTACAGTTTGTGTTGTAGAAAAAAAAAATATGGCAGTGGTCTATCGCTTTATCTGAATTTCTACGGGTTTACAATAAATTAAATATATTAAGTACTAGCTTTCCATGACGTCGTCTGCGTGATCGGGATATATTCTTTTTTTTATACAACTTAGAACAGCAAACAAGCTGACGGCCCACCTGATGAAAATTGGTAACCGTCGCCTATAGACATGAGCAGTACCATGTAAATAACAGAGTATGCTGTTTCGCCTATGATATCCCCCATGCGTTGCCATTCCTGAGGACCCAGGTGTTATTCCTCTGTACCCTGTAAATTCACGCCATATCTCACCCTTCAAATCGAAACACAGCCATGCAAACAACTGCTTTACAGTTAAAACACGAATGGTACAGAGGTACCCAAGCAAACGACTTTTGTATAAAGTCTTACTCTGGTAAAATTCACTGAAAGAGATAAAAAGTAGCCTCCATATAATACATATATGTATACAAAATTTTGTAGTGATTAGTTCACCTATTAATACGCTATTAGGTAACAAACAAACTCACTTTTACATGTATACTATTAGTAAGAATTAATTGATTTGATAAATGTTTCGTCAAAATTCCAATTTTTTCTTCCCTAAAAATCTTTATTCTACTATTAACGTTGAACTTAGACAGTTATATAAGGCGCTATAAGCTAACAAACTTACATTCACATTTTAATATTAATAAAGTTAGGTATTTCATCACATCAGTTGTTAACTGTCCTCTGATGAACATAGACCTCTCCCATTAACGAGGGTTTTGCGAGTAGTTTCTACGCTTGACAGGCAAGTTACCAATCACCGTTTAGGTTTTGATGATATTTTCAAAGGGTCCTTGTTGCTTCTTGTCCATTTAGTTCCCTTAATCGCCTCTTACAACGTCCACGGGAAAGGAACAGATGGACCATTCTATGTCGGAACCATACGACATACCCTGGCGTGGTTATCGACTACAGGACGATAAATGAGAATGTAAAGGTAGGTCGGTTAGCCCATCGTAACGAATACACCTGGAATATTTCAATGGAAGTATTCATGATCATGATGAATTAAAAAAATAATTTAAAAAGAACATTTTAAACAAAAAATTTAATTGAAATGGAAGAATTTAAAGGCACGGAGAGGTCAACCTGACAGGGTTGCTAGCATTATTAACAATCCTTTCTTCCTACCCAGCAGTTAGCTATATAGATTAATATATATAATAATCCAATAATAATAATCCAATAATAATAATCCATGGTGAGATATCATCTAAAAATATATTCAGATCTATTACGTCTCTTAAATTTGATGGAGAAAAAAATATTAAAAATAAAGCTTCATCGAATGAACAGTAAAGAAGCATTTATTTGAGTTTAATCTCAAATATATTTCTTGTTCGTGCAGATAACGAATGTTGAAAGAAAATAATGTGATCAGTCAAATGTACAGTAAAAAAATGTCGTTATTTTTTTGATCAAAAGAAAAAAGTGTCGGATGTACGTATTTTTAACGACTTGAAAAAAGGAGAAGGTTCTATGTTCGACTGTATATTTTTCTATGTATGTCCCCCAATTTCTTCGCCAATTATGGACCAATTTATATTTACATAGAAGATATTTTCATATAAACACTTTGTACAACAAAAAAAATGCCTCTGAAACCATATGACGGATTGGATTCCATCCCCTTTCGTTAATTTTTTTTCTTCTTTCAGTATCAAAAGGTATAAGTTACGTAATTAAATATATAATATTTTTTTTGGATTAGCTATTTGCTAAGTATATAAATACAATAACTATATGAACAGTAAAGTTACATTAACACAATAATATATGATTAGTTTTTTTTTTGCAAATTTTTCATTTCTAATGTATATTTGTAAACATCATAACGAAAATTGTTTAATACAATATCAATAATTTTATTTTAGCTGTTAACTGATGAACAAAACCTTCCCCATAAGGGGAGTTTTGCTAGTAGTTGCTACGCTTGGCAAACGGGTTGGCAATTGCAATTAGGATTTTAGAGATGTTTTAGGAGAGAAGCTGATGCCCATTTCTTTATCATTAAGTTCTTTAATCGTCTCTTATGACACCCACGGGGAAGAAAGGTGGCTAATACTATGCCGGGACCACACGGACGTCAATAAGATCAATATTCTTATACAATTTTCCTATATTCAATTTAAATTGAATTAAAAAATTAAATCTTCCAATTTCCTTCTTCAATTGAATTTTCAATTTTTCTATTTCCAGGAGCGTCTAAGCACCGAAGAGATCACTCGACTGAGTGACGTGAGGAACCTCGTCAACCAACTGTACGAAGCTCTCAATGTCCGAGAGCACCAGATTCGTAAAGAGAGAGATCTACGTGCCCAACTGGAGAAGCTGACCACCGAATTACAACCGCTTGAAGAGGTGAAAAGTGTACATTTTTAGTTTAGGACTTGTTTATCGTAGCTTAACCCACGCGACAGTCGTTGCGGTAGGAATTTCGTTAAACTCCATCTTAGTTTCGTTTCGTTATTATAATTTCAGTCATTTATTGTCCACTGCTATTGTTTTATAGCTATTTTCTTACTATCTATCTATCTATCCCATTTAAGAGCTGCGCTATTGTCGGTGGAGCTCTTGCCACTCACTATGATTTTCAGCGAGTCTTTTCGCCTCTTGATATGATACGACACCAACTCCTTCCTTGATCTGCCTGATGTAACTATGTCTCGATCTCCCTCCACCCCTTCTTCCTTCTATTTTACCTTCTATTATAAGTTCGCCGTGTCGTATCAAGTGTCCCAACATTTTTCCCCTTCTATCCTCAATAGTTCTAATAATTTGTCTTTTTTCCTTAACCCTAAGCAGGACCTCCTCATTGCTAATTCGATCCCTCCAGCAAATTTTCTCCATCCTTCTCCAGCACCACATCTCAAAGGCTCTAAGTTTATCCATTTTCTTACTATGGTACGCAATATTTTGCAAATCTATATTAATATTATAAAGAGAAAACATTTGTTTGTTTGTAATGGATAAATTAATAATTACTAAATACTCAATCGATTTTAATTTTATTTTTTCACTTATAAAAAGCTATATTGACAGCGAGTAACTGGCATATATTATTTTCAAAAAACTAGAGAACCGAAAATTACAAAGTATTAAAAATTTTCCTACTACAATTAATTTAAATTACTAATTAATAGTTCTTTTCGTTCGTATTTATCCATGGGAAGTCGGGCCGGATTGCTAGTAATTAATAAACATTTTGGTGTCTACGTTGAATTTATTTTGTAACTCTCAGTGCTCTTAACTCGGTAACAAACAACCCTCAATGCAGTAGTGACCATTGTTGATTAACGAGGCTGTTGAGCGCTTTCATTCTTTCTTTTGAAGTGTATCGTTATAGTAAAGGGTGGGAAGTAAATGGATATAGCATGGATGGGTCGTTTGAAGTAATAGAGTTTGTGCTGAATAAAATATCTAACTGTTTTCACTCACCTGTGGGATGAAGGAACTGACCTACGATGCAACGAATCAAAAATAATTACTAAAATTAAAGTTCTAGAAAAGATGTAGCTATATTTGGTCATATCGTTAGTGAAAAGCAGCGTTATTTGAGAAAAGTGTAGATTGTAAGAAGTACATGTGATAAAGAACGAAACAAAGATTTTTCTATGGTTTGTTTATTAAAAAAAAAACGGATGAAAGAATTGTGTAAGTAATAATAATGATTGAAGATTTTTTTATGGGTGAAAATGTAACAGGAACCTCGCTTACGCTATCGGTATACGCTGGCGAGGCATCAATGAGAGATGATAGGTAAGGATAGAAGCAGGTCTGTTAGCCTATTGTGATGAATTCGACAGGGATGATTTCCAGGGGGAACCACGTAAAGGTCGGCTTGATAGGGTATTTTGTTAATAATGAAGTTCTTAGATTTCATTTTCATCAGTCCTACTTTACCCCGGTTAAAGATTGTATATATTGTGGTTATCCCAATACTCAGACGGACTTTAACAATAGTGTTGCCAGTTGGATATTTTTTTCGCATTTTTGTGTAAAAAATTTTATATTCGCAAAATTTTGGGGAAAAATGAGATGGGCTTGGAGAAATTTGAAAACTTTTTTATAGTTTTTGTATTTCGTATGAAACTTGTGGTTACATGGCAAGTGAAGGAAAGTAAAAATTAACACAATAATGTGGTTGTGTAAGAGTGGAAAAATCTTATCGACTAGAATAAAAAAATATTTGACATTTGGGTTAAAATCAAAATTAGCAATTGGCAGCCCTGTTTGTCTATCAACTAAATAAACGAAGGGCTGAATAATAATAATAATAAAAAACAATAGTATAGTTAACTTTTGAAATTTATATTTTTGGTAGAAGCGCATGTCGCTTGAAGTGGAAACGAGCCGGAAGACTTCAGCTCTGACGTGGGTGGGGCTCGGCCTGATGGGAGTGCAGTTCGGCGTGCTCGCCAGGCTCACCTGGTGGGAGTACTCTTGGGACATTATGGAGCCTGTCACGTACTTCGTCACCTACGGTACCGCGATGGCCGCCTATGCTTACTTTGTGTTGACTAAGCAGGTAAGTTTTATGATCTTTTCCATTGCTCTGTTAAATGCTTGTATATTTTATTTATATTTATTATTATTTTTTATACTTTATTTTTGTTCTTATTGCTAAAGTAGTAAAGAGATATCCAATAATATAAATAAACATATCTAAAACAAACAATGTCCTACCAAGATTCCAATTAGAATGTTGCATTTATGCAGAGATTTTAATGTTATAGAACTGTATTGAATTTTTTTATAGTATCAAGTCAAATAATAAGTGCTCCTTTTAAAGAGTCCAAATAATCCAAAATGTGTATATAAAGATCTTATCTACCTTCTTTAGATATCTCCTTCCTGTCGTACTCTGAACTGATTACTCACATAAAGTTTTATCTATTTTTCCTACTCACGGAAAAAGAGGAATTAATGGATGTCAATAATTTACAGACATGTTCAAAAACTTCTAATTTGGATTCAGCTAATATAAATTGAATAAGACAGTCAGCACAGCAAATCAGTGCACCGCCATTTGCTCTCTCTGTTTAGCGGAACGGTTGATAGGTAAAGAATGCCATCAGGCATTAAGTCTGCCTTGTATACTATATATATTTTAATGTGTACAAAAGTATAAATAAATATATGCAACTTAGAGTGGCAAACAAGCTGATGAAAAGTGGTAACCGTCGCCTATAGACATGAGCAGTACCATGGACATAGCAGAGTATGACGTTTCGCCCATGATACTTAAAGTAAATAAAAATATGCTATAGTTCTGAATTATTTTTAAATAATTAAAAAGCAAATTAATTTGCCCACATTCATTACTAATAATTTTTCATTACAAAATGTTTCAGGAGTACATACTGCCAGATGTGAAAGATAGACAGCATTTGCTGACGTTGCATAAAAAAGCTAAGAAGATCGGCCTGGATATTAATCATTACAATCACCTAAAAGACGAGGTAAATACATATTTATATTTCACTTATGTTTTTTTTAATACCGCTAGTGCTATTAATAATAATAATAATAATAATAAAGTCCACTTTGGTTTTGCCTGTCCCTGAATCCACTCAGTACTTTACTGGAGAATTCGGGGACTGGATTTCAGTATCGGAGAGGAGGTACACGAGTGTCTCACCTTCTGTACATGGATGACTTGAAACTGCTAGCTCCGAGCATCGAACGCCTGACGGAGCTGCTAAATATCGTAAACGATTATAGCAGCTCTATTAGGATGGCGCTCGGAATAGACAAGTGCGCGGTCCTCCATGTGCAGAGGGGACGGGTCACTCAAACTGAAGGGATCGCCACAGATCCCTCTAATATTAAAACCCTCTCCGAGGCTGAAACATACCGGTATCTGGGCATGTCACAAAACATCGGTGTGAAGGAGACGGATATGAAACAGTCAGTCCGCGAGGAATTTTTTGCGCGCCTTACAAGAGTACTGAAAAGTTCTTTGTCGGGCGCCAATAAAATCCGAGCTTATAACGGCTGGGTCATACCCGTACTCCTTTATACTTTTGGCGTGCTCAGATGGTCTCAAACCGAACTCGAAGCCCTGGATCGGAAAGTCCGCACAACTATGACCCTCCATAGAATGCATCACCCGAAATCGTCAGTCATGAGGCTGTATATCCCGCGGAAAGCTGGTGGTCGAGGCTTGTTAAGCGTTAAGACCATGCACAACCGCGAGATTGACAGCCTCAGGACATATTTTCTGGAGAAAAGAGACGAGGGTTTGCATAGAGAGGTCATAGAATGTGACAAAGGATTCACCCCTCTTTCTCTGGCTAAAGAGGACTGGCGAAAACCCGAAGTTTTGGGTACCTCTCAGCGGGAGGCTGTATGGAAAGAGAAGGAGTTGCACGGAAGGTTCTTCAAAGCCCTTCACGGGCCGTACGTAAACACGAAGACCTCCGTGCACTGGCTACAGTTCGGTGATCTCTTCGGAGAGACCGAGGGTTTTGTCTGTGCAATACAGGATCAGGTGGTTAAGACGAACAATTACCGAAAGCACATTCTGAAGGATGGCACTGAGGACATCTGTCGAGCATGTCGCCATCCCGGAGAGTCACTCAGACATGTGCTTTCGGGTTGTTCAGCTCTTGCCAACACTGAGTACTTGCACAGACACAACCAGGTAGCCAAAATACTCCATCAAGAGCTAGCTCTGAAGTACGGCCTCGCGAATGAGAGGTTGCCGTACTATAAGTATGAGTCCCAGCCGGTCTTCGAAAGCGACAGCGTAAGGCTCTACTGGGACCGATCCATCATCACGGACAGGACCGTTCTTGCGAACAAACCTGATATCGTGGTGATGGATCGGGCACTCTCGAGGGTGTTTTTGGTGGATGTCACCATACCGCATGACGAGAACCTCGTGAAAGCCGAAACCGAGAAGAAGAGAAAATATCTCGACCTGGCTCACGAGGTGACCGAAATGTGGGGGGTGACATCTACCGAAATCATCCCAATCGTTATGTCGGTGAACGGTCTTATCCCAACCAGTCTCGAACAACATCTCAGACGGTTGGGATTCAGAGGCGGTTCACTTCCGGGAAAGATGCAGAAAGCGGTGCTCTTAGATTCTGCCCGCATTGTACGCCGGTTTCTCTCCCTGGGGCCCTGAACCCCAGCCGACTGTGCTTCTGCCGGGGGTTAGTTGCCATCTCCTCTCCTTAAGAGGGGAGATGAGAATTTTAGTGAAATTTAAAAAATAATAATAATAATTTATTAATTTATTTATTTATTTATTAATTTATTTATTTGCTAGAAATGTGGTAATAATAATGGTCTTAAATATAATAGATCTACACATTTCGCCTTATCTAAAGGCATGCAAATTTAGTATTATAATTTAGTGGCTTACGTATATTAATAGCCTAGTAGGATCAATCCATAAATATTGGCAGCCGCACACATACTAGTGGTAGCAGACTAAACAAATACAAATACAAACTAAACAAAAACAAATACTAAGTGTTGAAATATCATCAAATCCCACCGAGCGAGTATTTTTCAAGGACTTTATTACTTTTATTATTTCATCTTCACTGCAAGGTATTATAAATATGGATGAACATAAATTTTTTATACTTTTATGTTGATTATAACTTTTTGATGTATTTATACCAGTGATAGAGATAAAGTAGTCGTTGAACGCATTAGCAATTTCTTGAGGGTTGTTTATTTTTTTATTTTCGACCTCAATGCATCTTATGTCTTGTCTGTTTATAATATTACATTCCTTTCTATTTATTACATCCCAAGTAGCCTTGCATTTATTCCTTGAATATTTAATAAATCTACTGTTATTTATTCTTTTTGAACAATTAATACATTTGTTTAACATTTTTGCATATTTTAAATATTGTTTTTTATTGTAGCCTTTATTTTTTTTATAAATATTATATCTGAGTTTTCTTTTATATATACATGATAGTTTTATTCCCTTTGTGATCCATTTTACTTTATTACTTCTTTCCTTTATTTTGACTCTTTGTATTGGAAAGCAAAGATTATACATTAAACAGAACATGTCATGAAATAAATCAAATGCATTATTTATGTTTGTTTCACTTAACACTTCTATCCAAGATAAACTACTTAAGACATCTATGAATTTTCGTATATTGTCTTCATTAAAGTCTCTTTTAATTATATAATGATAACGTAGTATAGGTTTTTGAATATGTAATTTAAATGTCAAAGTTTGACCCGTATTATGATCTGACAAGAAAAGTTCATGAACCCTACCTTCAGCTGATGAAATATTGCTAAAAATGTGATCTATGCACGTGTTATGTCTTGTAGGGTTATTTATATGCATTTCTAAATTATAATTAAGAAGAACTTCCTTTAAATAGCAAGAATTTTTGTCATTTATAAGAGTATTAATATTAATATCCCCTGCAATAATAATTTTTTTGTTTCTTCTAAAAGATATTTTGTGTAATATATTTTCAAAATTTTCAAAAAATACATTATTATTAGTACCAGGTATTTTGTATATACAGATAACAATGCAGTTCCATAATGGTATTTCTACTCCACAACATTCAAAATATTTTTCAATTGAGAGATCATTAAGAAATGGAATGTGTTTATATTCTATATATCTTTTTTAAAGGATACATACCCCACCGCGTTTTTCATTTAATCGAGAAAAAGAAGTAGCCAATTTAAAATTATTTAAGACAATATTATTTTCATCTCCATTTCTAACAAAAGTTTCCGATAAGCAAACAATATCAGGGAATATATCCTTTTCCTTTAATTCATTTAAACACAACTCTAACATGTCTAGTTTATTTATAAGTCCTGCTATATTCTGATGGAACAATGTTAATGTAGTTGGATCTTTTTTATTATTTACGAAAAAGCTCATTTCCTTCATTTTTCGGAGGAAAATAATTGTTACCATTTTTTAGATTATTCTCATATATTGAGCTATGTTTACTTACACTAGGAAAGTAGTAAGGTATAGTACCTTTATGGGGCTTTTTAAAATCGTTAGAGCTGGCTTTTTCAGGTAATATACGACTTTTTATTTTATTATAGCATAAATAGTGTTTTTCGTAAAATTCGAAATCAACAATAACATTAAGTTTTAAACACAGTTCCGAAAGGAATTTTCTTTTGCCACCCTTATTGTCTACTTTTAGAAACTGACAATTTTGAAAATTTCTACATACATTTGAAATAAGTGTGTTTAACATATATTCATTTAAAAACTTGCTACTATTTATTCCCAATACAATTATCTTTATATTCTTAAACCTTGTCAATAAATTTACAAATTCAATCATTACTTTTGTCGGATTCTTGTCATTTTCTCCGGCACATAAAATAATATAATTGTCTTTTGAATCTTCGATCTGATAACATTCTTAAATTATATCTTGACATAAAGCATTTGGCTTTATAATAGAATAAATTTGATATTTTTGGTAACCAGATTCCAATCTTGAATAAATAAGTTTTGATGCTAGACCTGTACATTGCTGCGAACCAGTTATTAACATTTTGGGAATATTTGTTTGATTAGTAAAATCACTTTTTTTCCAAGAATTTATGTTCTCTTTGTCGTCTGTATTTTGTGGTATACTCGTTGTTTTCTGTAATATTGTCTTCTTATTAGGTTGAGAATTGTCGTCTGAATTACGGTTTGAGTCAATATTTTCTATGTCAGTCTGGTTTTCTGTATTAATTGATAATTCAAAATCTGGATGTTCTATTTCATTATAACTATGATTTTTTAAATCAAAAAGTCTTTTCTTTTGTAATTTGACTGTTTCATCTTTCTTAACATCCCCTCTTTTCTTTTTAATACTCGATGAACTCGAGTATATTTTTGTGAGGTGTGTAATTTTATAATTTTGTTTTGACAATTGTTTTTTCAAAGTACTATTTTCTATTAACAAATCATCTATTTCGGCTTTTGCAGTTTCTAACTGGGTTTTAAGATTATTTATTTCTATTTTTAGGTCGTCTACGATGTCATCACGAGTAGATAAATCAGGCAGACTTTTTATTGAATAAATAGATTCTGTTGACTCAGATGTAGAACTTTCTGATAAACTCGATACAATTCTTTTAGTAGGCCTCATTGTAATATAATTCGTCTGATCCATTTGTCTATAGTACAGATTCGCTAACTTAATTTTTTTTACATACAAAAAGTGAATTTCGTTGGCAGGAACCGATCGCAGACACTTACGTAAGAGTCATTCAAACCGTGCTTGAAACCAGTGTACCACAATCGCAGTTACTTGTTGATTCGAATTTATGGATTATATGTTAACTGAACTTAGATTTTGTTCGTTAAAATTTTCATAAATTTCTATTAATACCCACATTCAATTTCTGTAACTTTTAGTGAACCACAATTTATGTTTAATATATTATGCAGTCTATATCACCTATATTTTGTAAACCTTGGCTTATTATTTTATTAAGAAGTAAGTCGCACTCACTTTATTCTGATATTTGTTACTTATAAATGAAAAAAAAAAAAAAAAACTGTTTCACTTCATGAGTTTGTTGGTCAAATTTAATTGTCTTTATAATTATGTATTACTTGTATATTATATTAAAATAACACTGTCACTAAATATTTACACTACTTTCTACGATTTAAATAAATTATAACGATTAATACTGTCCCAAATTAAATTAAAATAATAAAATATGTTAGAGCTGATATGCACTTCATGACAGCTGTGATGAGTATTGGTATATACTGGTAGGGTATCATTGTGGGATGATTTGGTGAGGATGAAAGCAAGTTAATTGACCCATCGTGACGAACTCATCAAGAATTAACCAGGGGGCTCCAGGTTGACCTTATAGGGTAGTTGCTAGTAGTTAGGCCGTTAGTCCCTATTACTAAAAACCTTTTTTTCCCCCTCAGCACATATAAACCTATATTTAAGAACTTAATATGATTCTCGCTAAGGATCATTAGTAAAAGACTCAATAAAATATACCACTACTACTACCCTGGTTCCACTTTAAACCGCATAAATCTTTTTACCTTTTATTTTTACATTTACATACTTTTTACTTTTACAAAATGATGTTCGTTGTGTAGATAGTTTACTCGTGTTTTTCATTTAACCCAATAATACCAGAGACTGTCTCCCTTTAATCATTTCTGTCATTTACTGTGCACTGTTGAACTATTTAGTGCCATTCCTTACGCAGTTCTTGATTTGCTTGCATCTATCGAGATTATAGGCGTATAGCGGGGGGGGGGGGTCTGAGCTATTCCTGCCGCATAATTACTGTGTGCCTGACTTACAGACTTTCCAGTTCAGCGCACGTCTGAGAAATGATATACGCATCATTTTTAAGGGACCAGCCTCCTCCCCTTCAAATAATTTTAAATATGTGCTCAAGATTATATTGCTCGTTAAAATTCTGAGTCCTGTCTGTAAAATCATCCTCATACAGTTGCCTTGCAGTAAAAGTTTGTAAAGATATTTATTTATAACACTTACCTTATACTTATACTTTAACCATAAAAGCTGCTCAGGTTCCAATTAGTGTTATAACATTTCAGGTAGATAAACTACAGAAGGATCTTGCCCGCCTCCGGGATCCGCTTCAGATCCACCTACCGTTAACCAACGTCGACAAGGCGGGTGACAGCAAGCGCTCCCCACTTACCAAAATCAAGGACATGCTCGAGGAAACCAGTAAGAAAATGAAGATCACGTAATATTGGTCGTTGTCGCGTCGCGGCCTCGCAAACAAGGCCGAGTAGACGCATTGGTTGTTAGTTATAAAAACGCTTGTTATTAACGACAGATGTTGCATACTTTTTTTTAATCGCCACTCGAAATTATACCTTGTTTTCATCGTCATAAGTACTATAATCACGCCTAGTGATTAGATAGATTTTGGTTTCGTATTCTGAAGAATTGATATTTTAAATAAAGGCTTTAGTTGGCTAAAGAGAGCAGGTTTCTGTTCTCTCACTCTTACTAATAGGCTTGTCCTATTCTTTTCTAAAGATTGCATATTAATTGTGAGTTTGTAACCGATTTTGAATAGTATATATAAGTATGAGTGTAATAAAATATCATTCTTCAGATGCTAGAGTAGTTAGGCCCAGTTGTTCATAGGGTAATACTACAAAAAAAAAACTAGACTGATGGTCGAAGTTTGTTAATAACTTAGTATTGAACGTGTTTCGTAAGTTTTTACTACCAACTCTACGTTCTTCCTTGATGTACGTGGCGCTTTGAAAACTTTAACCATCGTTAGAAATTAGTCACGTTATTTAGTATAATAATAAATTATTACTAAAAATGTGAGAGAGAATAAATTATAATATTGCTTCTTATAATTTTACTATTGAATCAATATATATTAGTATAGTAGTTCTAAAATATAAAATATGCGGTATCAACTTAATTTCATACAATACCGGGGCTATACTATATACTATAATATAGTACAAGTAAAATTGTGCCTATCTTTCTGCCGAGATAGCAATTAGTCCATACAGAAAATTAATTCCTATTTCTTCTATTCCTATTTAATAGAAAAGAAAACCATCGGAGTCTAGATAAGTATACGGAGAAGTGACAAAGTAAATTATGATAAGTACTTATTTTGAATTCGTAACCCCAAATTTGATACTTGCCTAATTTACGGGGAAAGAAAGAACATGCGTGTTCTTTTTTTGAAGGATGGAGGTGTCATACCCACCTGTGCTAACACAGTAGGGAGGGGGGAGGGGGGATGATGGATGACGAAACAATGAAGTCAAATCAATTAGACTTTCATAGTGCACTCCAAAGGAGTTAACCTGACAGACTTACTACATACTTCCTAGAGCGATTCCTAAAGTGGGTTCCGCGGTACTTAGGGGTTCCATACCGAAAGTCACTAGGGTTCCGCGAAATTATTTATACAGTGAAACAATAATAAAAGCTTTCGTTCTTGTTTAAATTATCGTTTTTTTTTTTATTAGTTTATTATTTTGATTATTTTGGTAGTAATCATTTGATATGGGGTTTTATAAAATAAGAGAGGTATTCGGTGGGCGTTCCTTTATCTTAAAAGTTTAGGAGCCCCTGTCCTAGAGCACGTGTTGCCATACTATCATAGATCTCAACCCTTCCATCTCCCGCGTTTAGAAATCCCATAAAAGCACCGCGCTCAAAATTGTCAAATTCATCTTTATTCAAATAGACTTATTTAAAAGCACTTTTCACTTTGTCATTTTTAATGAATTTACAACAGGGTTCGTAATGTTGTTATCTGTTAAAATAACCGACAAGAAACTCAATAGTTACTCTTCTATGTAATCAGGTTATTTCTAAATTCATCTTTTTGGAAGGGTCATTGACATTTGTACAAAAATATTAATCATTGTAAAAAATATTAACTTATCAATAAGTTCCATTATATTATAACAGATTCTTTCATTAATCAATTCTTTTGCCACTTCTCCTTCTACTTGTATCTTGCAATTTTCATACAGCCCCATTAACACTTTGAAGTCTTTTATATATATGTTACCATCATGTCAGCCGTTAACTTTCCACTGCAGGACATAGGTTTTTCCCTACTGGAGACCTCAATTAGTAGTTACCACTCTTGGCAGATGAATTGGCAATCACAGTTAAGCTTTGGTGATGTTTTAAGAGGGACGCTGCTGACAATCCCTCGACAATTAAGTTCCCTTAGTCACCTGTTACAACATCCACGGGAAAAGAAGGGATGGCCCATTCTATGCCGGGACCACGCGGCGCATACACTATATTTTATTACAATGAAAATCTCTCAATGGTAAATGTTTTCTTATGACCAGCGTACGTATAGAATTTTTCCCCTTGTTTGAGATCTGATCTCACTGTAGTGAAAACTTCATGAAATTATGTTCAAGGCTTACGTAGTGATTGTAGCTAAAGTACTAGTAATATATACAATGAAAAAAGATTTCCTTTACATTAATTTATTTAGAAAATTTTAATATTTAGTTACAAACAACTAGGTTTTTTTTTAAATTGTGCTCAGTAATGTTGTTTCCTATTTTTATTAATTTTAAATCTAACATGTAAAAGTGTGTGTGTGTTTTTTTTTTAATAAAAATGCAATATCTATAGCTGTGCCAATAATGTAGCGAATAAACATGCAAAACTCCTGTAAATTGAATATTTTTAAATAATAAACATTTTTCTTGGCTGATTGCATACGAAGCTACTATTTTTTTAATGGATGATAATGAAATTGTAAAGTCACCTGTGCTAACGGTATACGTTGGCGGGACACCTTATGAAGGATGATAGGTGAGAATGAAATGCAGGTCAGTTAGCCCATCCTGATGAATATACCTCGAATTCAGCACGATAACTTTCAGAGGGGACCACAGGCACTGGTAGTCCGCATTACTAAAAATCATTTCCCCCATGCGGGGTTACTATCACCCGTGCATTTAGTCGCTTAAATATTGATGTTATGAGTATTTAAAAAACCTAGTAAAGTATCTAAAAAGTATTTTTAAAGACGTGATCGATAATTGCTTCTCAAATATAAAATGGTGTTGAAGCGATTATTTCCTCGAGACAGAGTAGCCTGTATGTAATCAGCCTAATTTATTTATGCCGAAAAGCAACTAACACATTTAGTTGTAAATGTATGAAATCTAGTCTTTTTATTAAGTAACTCTCCCATTTTGCTTGAAAATATAATAACTATCATAATTATTCAATTCAAATCCGATTGGATATTATGAGCATACCCAGGTACATTTAAAATTAAAACTTTTTCAAACGTAATACAGTTCATTTTAGCAAAATCACTGCAGCGATTAAGGATGTGAACGCAAAACTAGTGTATGCTCTATACCTCATCAGTCGGATCTTATGAAATGCTTAAGGAATATTGTTTGCAAATACGACAGTTCTGCTCTTGCCATTATGTGATTATTTTATCCATTTTAGACTGAATATTAGGGACTATTAACTTTATATAGTGATAAAATTGTTTTAAATTAGTAGAACATTTGCTGCCATTAATATACGTATAAAAAATAACAAAGCTTAAAGCTTATATTATTGCCTGTAGGTATTGCTTGCACTAATTTATAATTTTATAATTACACCTTTCACACGATTTTGTCTGTTCACAGAGTACTAACAGAGACTGTCATTATTTTTTTTCAACGTTCAATTATTTGGTGTCCAGATGAATATATAAGACTCTAAATAAGGCATGAAGAAGATCTGATCAATTCATTGCCGACTGCCTATTTTTGAGACCTAAAGTGCATGATAGCGTAATAACTCTGGCTTAATTAATGTCCTGTCCTAGTGATTTTAGACGTTTACCATATTTCCTGCAGCATAAGGTTTCTTTTTATGTATATTTATCTGTGAAGTGACAGCTCTAATGTTGCAAGCATCCATAGACTATGGCAACTGTCTACTACCAGAAAGACCGTGCTACAATTATGAAATGCTTTCATGATACGTAACATTGCTCTTAATTAAATGTAATTATACTTCATATATCTTAGAACATCTATTTATTGATTTTAAATATCAACATTATTTAATTTGCCATCAAATCCAAAGACTAAGAATAGACTGATGGAATATTGTGTACAAAAAGAACTGAAATCACATGAATGAAGAATGTCGTGTCTGCAAACATTATATTGTTTCATTTTGTAAATTAGTTATGAAAAACGAATTTTAAATATCGCTATAATATATTTGAATTTACGTAATAAAACATTTGGATAATGCTAAAAAAAGTAGTATGATGTTGGTGGTATTTAAAAAAAAATACGAATTTAAATTGAAAATATCTAATTTAGCCCGATTTGTTAAATTTTATTTCATAATGATTTAAACACAAAAAGATTGCCAATGATTCAAAGGGCAATATTATGTATGTAGATAGATAAAAAATTAAATACCTACCAAAAATTCTATATATTTTGCCACTTCAAAAATTATACAAGAAAAGAATAATAGTAGAAAACAATTCGAATATTATGGCAACACTAGACCGTACTAATATATTGTTTTTAGCACCTTTAGTATTAAGAAAGTCAAAATGTTAGATGTTATTTCAAAATAATATCTCAAACTATACATAGTTACCTACTTTAAAAAGACAATGTATATGTTTTCTTAGCCAAATATTTAACAATATCTAGTATAGTTTGAGTTTATGTATTATATATAATAGGTTTTATTTGAAATCTCATCTCTTTCTTAAGTAAACTTAAAACACTATTATTTTGTAGACGCACAAAAATAAAATTGGTGCTTTTACTGTTTTCGAATAATGTTTATTTTAGATTAGTAGATATATTTTAATAGGGTGCAAGTTTTGAATACTTGATTAAATCAATTTTGCAATTGTGTAATTTTTTGTAGATATTATGTTGCAATTTGTTTCTTATTAAACTTTTATTTATAAGCTCGTATTTTAGTGTCTAACATGTCTGTTTAGCACTAATATTTTTTTACCTTTAAATTAAAACGCGACTAAATTATTATACATGTAATATGGATGTTTACTCTATAACAGAACCAATATCCAACAAACCTAACATGTTCTAAGGATTTTTATGCATACGCCTTGGTCAGATAATAATAAAAAAACAGTTTTTTTTCTAAAGGATGGTAACATTGTTTCTCTAGTAGAAACTAGGTTAGGTGAGGTTTCTTTTTTTAAAGGTCAAGCTTGATATATTGCCATTACTGTCAATAAGTATTTTAAAACAATATGTACCAAGGTATTTAAAATAGTAAAATTACACGACTTTAAAGTAATTCTCAGACTTTAAGTATAAAGACTGAGAATACTCAGTTACGCTTGTTGAAATGCAACAAGCGCAGCTACGCTTGTTGAAATCATATAAACTGAGTATTATGAAATGAATCGTGTTATAATACACGTAAAGTGGATTTTTACCTATTCTGATATATAAGAGTAGTATATTGATTCCTCCTCAAGGATATTATCATACTACCGCGCTGGCTATGCGGCTTGGTATAGTTTTATTTCACTTGCAATGGCGTAGGTATTGTGCTCTAATAGCCTAGTCTCCTCTAACAACGTCCTGAGAATAAAAGAGTGATTAAAAAGTGTAATTATATAAATTCAAAGTCCGTTTAGAACTGACAAAAATATTAAATATTGCGTTTACACACAAAGAAATATAGACGATTTGAAATTCTCCACTTTTTACCTCATACATTTGTTACCTCATAACTCCGTTATTTCTATACTAATTCGGAAAATTTCTTTTTTTATTTTGGTCAGAAAGGATATATTTACAGGTTGGATTAGTTTTCAAAACAACTGGTTTTGACAGAATTAATGTCTGCTTTTTTGTAAGACACAAATTTTAACTAAAGGATTTTTTTAAGTGAAGATGTAACATTTCCTCTCCTCCGGATATATAATTTTTTCTATATATCATCTCGAATATTGGATATTGAAATACCTTAGATATGTTTAAGGCTATATTACATTTTACATAAAAAAAAATTAAAATATAATTATTTGCATCTCAGTGCAATTCTTTATGCTTAATTATGCTACAGTTGCATGTTTAAAACTATAAATTAATTACGAGCCGTAGGATAAATAATGGCTGTGAAATAAATGTCGAAAAACATTTTCAGTCCATAAAGTACATTTAGTAATGTGACAACACTTATCTGCGCTTTTATAATTCACATGTATTTTTTACTATATACTATTACCTATTATATCGTGACGATAAATTCATACGATATAGTATACGATATATCGTATGACTTTATCGTCACGATATAATAGGAGAGTCAAATATATACAACTAGGGATCGGTGTCAGCTTCGCACGATACTTTATTTAAATGTTTAGTCACTTTGAAAAATCAATATTTCGCGACTTGATTAAATACATTGTACGATAGTTGTTTCTTGTCTGTTTTTCTCAGCTGTTTTGAATTGGAGTGTAGATTTATAAAAAAAAATATTATTAAAAAATGTTTAGTATTAAGTTCATTTGGATAAAAAATACTTTTATTACTGTATTTATTTATTTAGACAAAATTTTAATTAGAATATATTATAAGTAATACTTAATTGTATTTAGAACATGTCTAAATGTTAGTGAAAGCCGTACGGAAATGCGCTTAAAAAACATAAGCGGAAAAACAAATGCCGTCTGCGACTTTGTACTTAGAAACCGTAAGATTATATATTTCGGCGCACTTTCAAGATATAGATAGATGGATACTCTATTGTTTCCCCCATAAGATTACAATAGTAGACTTGTTATAAATATAAACAGCAAGAGAAAATATTAAACTGAGCAAAAAATGGGCGAGTCAATCGCTAAGAGAGATATTTTCCAGGCAACGTTTGGATGGAAAAGCGTAATTATAGATAGTAAAATAAATATATGATATTAAGATATCGTCGTCTCATGCTCGTCTCCATAAAAATCCATATATTTTATACGATACTATTGTATTGTAACGATACTATTATATCGTAACGATACTATTAAATCGTTACGATATCATACGATATTGTGTTGATACGGTAAATTATAAAAGCGTTTATTGTCACATTTCTTGTTACTGATTATAATCATTGTAATTTAATATTAGGTTAATATTTCTAATATCTTAATATTATAATTATAACAATGAAATGTTGGACAAGAGGGTCATTATTCTTTAAACAAATAAATTATCAACGGCCTTGGTAGTGATTAACACGCTGCTTCATCCTAATCCCCTTACTCAAACCGTCGAACCTCTCATAAACCTTTTTTAACTATTGAAGTGTTTTTTCCTTTTCATTTACACTCATTTCTCAATTTGAAAAACTGTGACAAAACACTATAACAGTTAAAATAGGTTTCTAGGACGTTTTAGCTTTTTTTATGAATAAGGGGATTAGTTTCGTATTCGAACATTTGTATTCGTGAGTATGTCTGCTTATTTTTTAATGGGTGAAAGTATAATGGTAATCCTGCCTGCGCTATAAATACATTGGCGGGGTACAAATACATTGGGGGTAAGAGATGATAGGTGATGAAAGCAGGCCAAAACAGAATTTCACAAGAATTAACCACGATGGTTTGCATGGGGAACCGCATGGAGGTCGACCTGATAGGGTATATTGATAGCAATGGGGCTGTTACACTTCATTACTAATCTATTTCCCCCTCTGTCTGCTTGTATTATTTGGTTGGTGTATTATTGGTGTATAGGTAGGTAATACGTAAAAATGTATTCAACTATGTCTATCAGTCGTCTCTGCTTAGTTTGGTTCTAAATAATATATGTTTTTTTTTTATCTATGCCCATGAGTGTTAGTATGTATGTATTGTTGGAACATCCAACAATATATTATTAAAGTTAATGGTAAATTATTCTATTATGAAAGTCGTGAACAGTGAGGTCGTTTTTAGGAGCCGTTTGTTTGAACCTATTTTTTTTTTTTTAATTTTGATGTCGCAGCGAAATTTTTATTGTAACGACCAATATGAACTAATTTTCTAATAAAAATGTATTTATGTATTCCTACTTAAATAAGTAGGAATTATTATAAAAAAAAAATGCTCAAAATCAGCTTCATTGACATCATATTTTGAACGACAACTGTAAACGAATTTAATTTATCAATAGTTCTCATAAATTTGGAAATATATATATATATATATATATATATATATATATATATATATATAATATTCTTTAATTCTGTTAAAGAAATCACTAAGGTATATATTAAATAAAATTTTATTTGTGTTACAATAAAAAATCATGTTTTTCTATAAACAATTATAATATATCCACAATATTTTATCAGTTTACGTCAAATAGAATCAAAGAGAATATTATTTCTATTTGTTATAGTTTTCATTCATTCATTAAATTTTTTCATGAATGAATGAAAACTATAACAAATAGAAATAATATATAGAAATAATATACATTCCATCATAAACCTCTATTGTTATTATTCATTCAGTGATAATTATGACTGCACTAATTAGAGATAGGTAATTATCTATCGAACTGTATGCGTTATGAATGAAATATGCCTGTAACGAATACATTCAACGAATTAATTTGATTAACACATTGTATTTAATGTGATAACTCAACACAACATCAACTGTAAACTCCAAGGCCTTAGAAATACGGTCTAAATCTCTTTGTATATAATATATTATACTCATTGTAAACTAGTTTTAAGCACGCACATAACTATTCGCTCAATATAGCTTTCTCTTGTGATTTGCTAATTTGCCTTTTAGAGTCTTTTTCTATCTAATGTTTTTCTAACTATATAAGTAGATTTTTTTATATAGGTATACACATATTTAGTGTAAGAGGGAGCAAAGCTTCTGTTTATGTAATTAATGTATTCATTTACATATTATCTGAAATGGCATTTTCCATCGTGCTCGTTCTCAGTTTGTAATTTTTTTTCTAGAATTTTCCAAATTGTTCTAGAATAACAACGCCTAGGTGAGATATGCTTAGCAGAAAAAAGTAGTTAGTATTTGGAATTTCAGAGAAAAATGTGTTATGTACCAAAAAGGATACATTTATTTTATGATACGTGTTAAGTAGTGCAAGTATTGTTGATTTTGCACTATTAAAATGTCAATCTTTTGTTTTTAATATATCATATCTTTGCGTCGTTTTATTATATTAATATAATTCTATTTTATGTACAATTAACATCGATTATTTATTGTAATATTCAACTATTTGTAAGCTGCAAAATTTATGAAATTATGAAAAAAAAATATATTTATTTAAATGTAATTCTTAGAAATCTGTATCTATTATACATTTTGTATTCTATTTAATATGTATTAGACCAAGGGTTCTCAAACTGAGCTGAAGCTTATTGTTATAATGGCAAGGGTCACCCAATTTAGCGTTGTGGGCCTAAATGCAATAGACGTTCTCTAAGTTCTTCAAATATATTTAGAAAAAATAAATCACAGTATCAAATATTTATGTTGAAATCAGAACAGCAGTTTTAAAACTACTGTTTTAAATAAGTCATTAATTATATTTTTGTGATGTTTCTTTTATATTTTTTATAATAAATAGTAAGTAGTTGAAAATATTTATACTTACATTAAATTTTCTTTGTTAAAAACGATGTAACAAATGAATGTTTACTACTAGACCTGCATTATATAATTATATACTATTCAGCTTTAGAGAAATGTCGTAAAATGACAATCTGCGTAAGAAGTTCAGTCCAAACAAGGTTGGGAACCCTAATATTATACATTGTCCTTCGAAGAATTTCACTATCCAGTAGTTAGGTACTTATTTATAAATTTACATATGTATAGTTAATTTCTAGAGGTGAGATAGCTAAGTAGGTACTTTGTAAAATTCATTACTTTTATAATGTTGATTAGTAGTATTACATTTAGCATTTTTTTTTAATGAAAATTATATGATAGTGTCTATATGTATTGATATAGAAAAAGATACAATCAAATTCCTGTACAAATTTTAAACTTACATAAAACTGCTTCGGTTTTTCGTAGGGTGTAATTAGAGTCGAATATTTATTGAAACTATGAAACTGCCCGTCTCTAGTTCTAAACGTTATATATTTATAAAATATGCAAGCACATTTTGGCACATTTGACAACATTGATTGGAAATTGAGTGCTTAATTTGATTTCTTTTTTGTAGTGTAGCTTTTTCAATATTTGATTGTAGGTGTATCTTGGCTTTTTTGTATATCAATGCTTATTTATGACATTTAACAGAAATCTTATACGTAAAGAACGTAAAACGTAATAAAACATTACCTACTAGCTGACTCACTTCCAGAAATTGTTTGTTAGATTTAATTTATCCACGTTCTAACTTTCCTGTTATTAATCACTAATGATATTGCCAAAATTTACCCTTCCAAATGTCTTGTTGAACTTTGTTACACACTTTTGGATTAATTAAATGTATTAATCGTTATGGGAGCGACGGTACGGGAGAGGGGCATAGTATGAAGTCACAGGCACACAAAACGGACAAACAAATCCCGACTCCTTGTAACAGTTACCATTTTGCATTTTGTTAAATTTACAGTCGTGTTGTTCGATTAAATTTATAAAAAAAAGTCGCCATGCGTTTTTTTTTTTAATATCTAATAAGTTTAATCTGCCCATTCTCGCTCTATGTAGTATGTAGTAAAAGGCAATAGTTTAAGCCTTGCTATTGCAATTATCTCCTAGTTATGTAAGACATAAGGCATTATCTCTTACACTGTTCTTACAACAAGTCACAAAATAGGTATTATGTGTACAATATTTGAATAATTTTTTTTAAATATTTTTCTTGCAATAATGTCTGTCCCAATATTGAATTCTAATTATCATGAAACTACAAATATGTTATACCTAGAATATTTTAAATTTGTTCTCATTCCTTTAATACTCTGTTATTAATTATTTAAAATCAAACGCTTCACCTTATTTACTTACAGCTTTATTCGTTAAATAATTTAAAATTTTGCTTAATGTACAGTTAAATGACATTACAGATTTAATGTTTCATTAAAGATTTTAAAATGTTAACAAGTGATAAAATTATGTTTTGTCTTTCTCTAACGCTTCTGATGGCGAGATGGGCTTCGAATCGTATGGATATAAATCAATGCTTTGAACGTGAGCCCTGACTGATACTCCCGGCGGTACCCCAAAGTAATCCTGACCTATATTCCTAATGATGGTGGTACCCGGCTTTGTGTGATGTATATTAAATCCTATTGCAAACTGTGGCGTGTTTTTGTCTCCTTTCCCGTCATCATAACCATCGCTGTCATCTTTATTATTGGCTGGCTGGAAAGGTTTTAGAGGCACATAAGGTTTCTTCGTTGGCCTATAAGGCTTGCTGGTGGGCCGACCCGGTTTGCCTGTAAATTCGTAATTATGTCTAAATTCTTAGGCTGTGTGCTGATTGCTCTGTGCTGCGTGCCGTAAGGTGTTGGTGTAATAAAAACCAAATTGGTTGTGAATAATATTTATTGCATTCAAGCAATTCTTATAATTTATTAAATAAGTCTAGTGCAATGCATTTCTACCTCTGGGCAAGTCGACTGAGACTCAGTGATCTTGATCAATTTTAAAAGAAGCTTCAGTTCTTCTTTCATTGAAATCAAAAGAAAATAAAGCATTTATCGTGACTAGTAAAAATGTCCGCAATAATTTTTTTTATGGTAAAAAAGTTTACGATGTAACAAGATCACTAAAGTCAATCACCTTGCCGTCGCCGTGCTAGTCATCACCTGGTCCTTTTGTTGGCTTGTTGCTCCCGCCAAAACCTGAGACATCTTCGTCGACGTAGCCTAAATCCGCACTGCCCTGACCAAAGTCGGAGCCTTGGTAGCTGTTACCGTCGTCATCACCGTCTGAACTACCCCCGTTACCACTAGTGGAACTACCGCCGGATGTGCCGCTACCAAATGTGCTGCTGCCAAAATTGCCACCAGAAGTGCCACTGCCATAACTACCACCATTAGTGCCACTGCTGAACAATCCACTTCCAGTACCAGTGCTAAAGGAGCCACCACTGCCAGTGCCGAAAGAACCAGTAGTGGAACCACTGTCAAAGTCGCCACCAGTTGGTAGACTACCATATGAGTTGCTTCCTCCAGAACCAAAGCCACTACTTCCGCTACCAGATCCACTACCATTTGGTCCAGTAGAGCCAGTCGACCCTGAACTGGGTTTGTTTGGTCGTTCTTTGTCGTTGGAAGGGAACGGTGGTGGCTTTACATGCCCTGACGCCGCGGTGCCGTCTGGACCTAGAAATTAATGGAACTACTTTATTTCTTACAAATGGTTAAGCCCTATAATTAAGTATATTTATCGCTCTCTCTCTTCTCTCTCTCTCTCTCTCTCTCTCTCTCTCTCTCTCTCTCTCTCTCTCTCTCTCTCTCTCTCTCTCTCTCTCTCTCTCTCTCTCTCTCTCTCTCTCTCTCTCTCTCTCTGAGTGTGTGTATGTGTGAGTGAGTGTGTGTATTCAAATCTTAGTTTAAATCTAAATTTGTAACAGTTACCTATTTGTTAAATTCTTGTTTTTGATTAATTCTATACTGAAGCGAAAGTAATGATTTTTATACATCTACTGTATGTATGATTATAGCGTATAAAGTAAAAACATGTAGGCATTAGATTCTAATAACGTAGTTTCATATTTTTTTTTTATTCCTACCTTTAAAAACATCATCAGCGCCGCTGTCATCAGGCGAAAATCCTGTGGAGGCAGCAGCTCCCACAAAGTCTGGGTCGTAAGCGCTTGGAATGGTGGGGAAGAATGATGGAATGTAGGGATCCTTGTTATTCTTCACTATTCTGTACCCGATACCGGGTCCAGCTATGTAATTTACGGTTCTGTAGGTAACAAAATAAAGTTGAATTAAAGTAATATCTATTGTAATAAAATATGTATAAAGTTTTCTTTTATCGGTAATATATAAATATTAACGAGGTTAATAAATCACTACTACAGCATAGTAGCAGGTACGTTTCTTTACGTAAATGCGGTCCTGGATTTAATTCTCGGCTGGGAATAATGGAGATTTCTAAATTGATTCAAATCCGAAAACAAAAATCGGGTTGGAGTGATTTTAGATATGCCCTCGCGATTTGACTGGTTTATTATGAACCGTATGATTATGTGGCAAATAATAATTATTTAATTACCTTTGAACTCCTTTGTCGTCTAAAAATGTGTACGATCCTCTTACATTCCCATGCGAGTCGCTGCTTTCTGTTCTTCTCTGATCTGGGCCTGCTGATATGAACCTACAAAATCATTTTAAATTACAATTCAAGAGTAGAGAAAGCACTGGTTATAGAAATTTATTACGTGTCCAATATTTTTTTTTAATTATAAATTTAAAAAAATTGTTTGTGGTTAGGATTTTTATTTCTCTTAAAAGGTACCAGTAGAATATCAGCATTGCGCGTACTCCGTAGCCTAATGCTGAGTTGATTACCCTTTTACTGTTGCAGTACATAAAACTACCTACGTATTTATGTTTTGTTTCTAAGTTTGAAATTATGTGCTAGTGATGGTGATGAAACAATTTAATCCAAAATTGATAGGAACCAAAATTAAAATGTGAAAAAAGCTAGGTTTTAAATAAAAAAAAAGACATTTTTCCCTCTTGCTGTGGTCTGGCGAATATTTTAAGAGTTGTTTATGCCCTAAATATATAAGTAAATAATTAAAAATAAAATATACAGTACATTTAAAAGAAAAAAGAATAATCCTATTGCTTTTCTCGAACGTTCGATTAATTATAATATAAAGGAACTGAGACTTTTTAAGAAATAATAAAATTATCATCTACTGTCTAACTTTATAACGTGATCTGTTTTTTCTTCTCAAACTTTTAGTGTAACCCATAATAGTAATTATTCTTTTTAACTACGTAATTATTAATATGTTTGCATATATTATAATAATAATATATAATAATGACATATTACCTGTACGAGCCATCTAAACCCCGTTGCACTGCCGTTCGACCTCTCGGTCTGGTCTCCCCTCTTACCAGCGGCGCTCGGTGAAAAGGTGAGCCTATAACGTTGTGGCTGTCTGGATGAGCTGAAGACACGTGGAAGCCTGTATCTCTGCCAGCTATGTAGGAGACATCGTGACGTTCGCCCACGTCATCCACAAACGAGTAGTGGCCTAGTACAAAAAATAAAGGCATAAGTCATTACAGTTAAAGAGAGTGGATCGCTTCAATCTCGGAAACGGATTGTTAGTAATGGAGACTGAGAATCCCATTGCTAGCAATATACCCAACCAGGTTGTACTCCTCGCGGTTTCCCCTGAAAACTATCATGGTTAATTCCTGATGAATTCATCATGATGGGCTAACTGACCTGTTTTCATTCTCACCTATCACCCTTCACTGGTGCTCCGCCAACGTATCCCGTTAGCGCAGGCGGGGTTACCATACCATTTTCATCCATCAAAAAAAAAAACTCTGTGCTCTTTATTTGATATCTCCGTTAAAAAACTACGTAGCGAATGATCTTCATATCTATACGCTAATCCTGAACAAATTCTTAAATATTCTGTTGGAGTTGTTGCATATTTTTGTGTTAGTTTTTTGTTTATATGGTACATTTAATTTTATTTTGTCTGACTAAATTTTATGTTCTATTATTTAAAATTAATCAGACCTATGGGCCTCAATGGTAGAAAGGTTCGTTGTACGGGCAAACGCAGTATAAGACAACTTCTTACTAAATGGAGTGACGACCTCAAATGCATTGCAGGGGGGCAGTGTATGCAGGTAGTTCAGGACCATTCCTTATGGCAGTCTATGTGGGAGGCCTATGTTCAGCAGTGGACAGATAATGTCAGATGGTGATGGTCCACAATATATACTACAATAAAGCCTTAATTTATAGCTGCTGTTTAAATAACAATCTTACCTTTAACGTCGCCTCTACTGTCAGCGTTCTCGTTCTTGGAATATGTTCTCGTGTCGAACTTGAAGGCATAGCTGGGGTCCTCGTTAGGATCGAAATATGGATCGTCCTTATTACCGATTGGACCCCGAGGTCTTTGATCCAAGTCCATTTTTCTGTGTATATTCGCGCCCTTTGCTCGAAATCTATACATACCGAACTACATGTTAATCAAAATTGTATGTTTTCAATATAAAATTAAAAAATATTCGTTCAATTATTACTAACTTTTAGCCGCGACTACGTCTGCGTGATCGGGATATATTTACTGATCGCGATAAAAATAAAACCTATGTCTTTCTCCATCCCATATTGTATATGTATAACAAATTTCATAGTGATTGGTTCAATTGTTAAAACGTTAAGAAGTAATAAACAAACAAACTCACTTTCACATTTATATTATTAGTAAGGATATTTTATCTACACAATAGAATGAAATGATCGGAATCTAGAATTCTTATGTCTATGTCTTCTGCCGTCAGCTCCTGAACGTGTTTTGATTAGAGGTTTATTGAAGCCAAAGTCCGACATAAGAGGCATAAAATCTGAATCCTCAGGGATTATTAAAACTTATGTGGATTACTACGAACGCTACATTACTTGAAATCGGTAAAATCTACCGTGTCTTTCATTTAACGGTCATCCATTTTCAACAAACTTCAAAAAGAAGGACGTTCTCAATTCATTTGTATTTTTTATGTTTGTCACTTCATAACTCCGTCAGTTGTAAACTGATTTCGAATTTTTTTTTTTTTATTTGTAAGGATACACTTCTAGTTTGGATCCATAGATATTTTATCATAATCGGTTAGGTAATTTAGTTTTTAGATCAAATTAACTGGTTCTGTCACAATTGGAGTCGCTTTCTTTCGTCTTCATATATCATTAAAAATACCCTCTGTTCGCCAATGTAGCAGTGTAGAAAAAACAAACAATTCATACTGAAATTTAAAACAAGTACAGCCGATGAGATTCGGATATTGCTGAATAACTTACCCTCTAGGTCCAGCGGTGTAAACCGTCTCTTTCACGGTATCGGTGGCAGGGTCACGGGCGCCGAAGCGGCCGCCGACCAAACCGTTCGCATTGCCGTGTGCTAAATGGTAGCTGGCACCTCGGTCCTTGTTTGAGTACCTGAAGATATAATGCCATGTATATATAAAGGGATACATTTACAGAGAAATAATCATGTTAGATTAATTTATACGGTACAATAATGATATGTTCAAGATAACACTCCAAAAATATGCGTATACAGCATGATCAAATCATAAAACACGTATATAAGCATAATATAATGTATGTATCAAACAATAATTTAACTTATTTACAGATTTACAACTACAAAGTACATACATAGATAATCATACATATATGTACCACAGCGTATATTTTACATTTTTATATAATATTTTATATATAGGTACAATAAAAGAGATTATTTACTAACTGCAGAGGAAAATAATACGCATACGTCGTGACTAAAATCATTGAACTTCTAACCAAATACATAAATTTTTATACCATCTCGATGAGCACCACCATGCTGAACATTATTGTAAGACCGATACATTCTTAAAATTGGATTGTGAAATGATTACTTATTGTTAATTATATATATATATATATATATATATATATATATATATATATATATATATATATATATATATATATCGTAATGGGTATCGTAAGAGGCGACTAAGAAAACTTAGTGGTAGAAAGATAGGCAGCAGAGTCCCTCTTAAAATATCATCAAAAGCAAACTGTGGTTGGCAATCCACCTGCCAAGCATGGCAACTACTGACAAAACCCCCCAATGGTAAACTGCAATTTGTATTTTTTTCTTTATTTAATTAGCATGCATAAATATATTAAAAAAAAAACTGTATTTTTAGTACCACTTAAACCTCTTGGTTATCAATAGATATAGTATCTCTAGACATAGTATAATCGAATCGTTATCGCTAGCGAGTCCATATTATAGCGATATGCGCTGTCTTGTTCTCTCATGTGAACGCTGATCGAAACGATTCCATAGATAGATTCGTTTGTACCTTGTCTGGGAGAGCTGGGTACAAGTGATAAGCGATTTTATTTATATTGTATGCAAATTTTACAACATATTGTACTTAATTTTTTTTTATACAACTTAGAATGGCAAAGAAGCTGACGGCCCACCTGATGGAAAGTGGTAACCGTCGCCTATAGACATGAGCAGTACCATGGACATAACAGAGTATACTGTTTCGCCCATGATACCCCACATGCGTTGCCATTCCTGAGGACTCAGATGTTATTCCTCTGTACCCTGTAAATCCACGCCATATCCCGCCCTTCAAACCGAAACACAGCCATGCAAACACAACTGCTTCACGGTAGAAATACGAATGGGACAGAGGTACCCAAGCAATCGACTTGTACAAAGTCTCTCTCTGGGAGCACCTCTTATAAAGTGTATTATAAATATTATCATATATTAATAATAAATCTCGCAGTAATCCTATATGTTCACACAATGAGTGCTTTTTGTTAGCAATTACTATTTATTAATTTAACAGAATTTGATGTTAAGTGACACTGTTGACCATTAGTAGACTCTGTTCATATACTTTCGAATTTGGTCATTTATGCATTTTTATATAAACCTTTAATTGTCCACCGCTAAACATAGTCCTCTCTCATAAGGGGAATTTTGCCAGTAGTTGCTACGCTTAGCAGCGAATGGGCAACCGCAATTAGGTTTTTAGAGATGTTTTAAGAGGGACGCTGCTGTCTATCCTTCGGCCATTAAATTCCCTTAGATGACATCCAAAGGAAAGAACATTTACAGATCTTAAAAAATTAAATCATATTTAAAAAAATATTAAAAAGTAACGACCCACTTGTATCGTAAAATCTTACTGATAATGTATGACTAGCTTTTTATAAATGAAAGAATTTTTAAAGTTTTTTTAAATATTATTTGAATTTATCCATTACATATGAAAAATCAAATCTTTCCCCTTTATATATTCGATTATCGATCTTCATTGATTTACTTTCTTCATATCAGCTGATAACTGTCCGCTGCTGAACATAGATCTCCCCAAGGGGAGTTTTGCCAGTAGTTGCCACGCTAGGCGGACGCATTGGAAACCGCAGTTAGTCTTTGGTTATGTTTTAAGGAGGACGCTGCTGCCCATTCCTGGATCATTAAGTTTCCAAAGTTCCATAGTTATAATACCCACGGGAAAGAAAGGGGTAGTCCATTCTGTTCCGGAACTACACGGCAATGATTAACTATTCATTATATCTTTTATCAGGTATTTAGAATATAGTTAGATGCACAAAATATCTAGTAGGCCTCCCGCTTGGTGGGTTTTCCAGTAGTTGCCATGCTTAGCAGACGGGTTGGCAACCGCAGTTAAGCTTCGAAAATGTTTTAAGAGAGACTCTGCTGCCCATCCCTCGACTATTAAGTTCCCTTAATGGTCGAGATCTTCCACGACACGCATGGAAAAGAAAAACGGGGCCCAATCTATGCTGGAACCGTACGGCTATAATATTAACAGAGATATATATATTTTTAATAATTAAATAATTGACACATGTATTTAAAAAAAGCCGATCAACTGCGAGTTGGACTCGCGCAACGAGGGTTCCGTACAAAATCATCAAGTTTATTTTTTTTTTGTGAAATAACTACAAATTTGCAATTTTCGGATTGTTTCCTTTACTTGTGCTACATGTCATTGCTTCTTGCCAAATTTCATAATTCTAGGTCAACGGGAAGTATTCTATAGGTTTTGATTCCCTTTGTGAATGTCAAAACATGCGATGTAAACGGCCGTATCTTTTAATTAGGTCAATTTAGAAGCTTGATTTTTTCTCTTCTTTAAGAAATTGATTGATACCTCCACGCGTTCCTAAGAAAAGGGTCTTGACAGATGGACGGACGGACGGATGGACAAAGAAGAGATCCTATGAGGGTTCCGTTTTTTCCATGGAGATACGGAACCCTAAAAACAATAATAAAATAAAATACAATAAAATGTAATTAGGTTCTTAGTGTTATCTATGTCCTGAGTGTTCTCAAAATTCAAACAACGCCCATTAAATTAATTAAAGAGAATTAATTTCATACTAATTAATAACTCAATTAAAAAATAGCCGAACAATTACAAATAAATCACATGTAAAAAAAGCAACAATACAACAGATCATTAGCAATTAATAATTTGTCCATCTGTCTATCTATCTACATGTTCATAATAAATTAAAACGCTACAAAAGCGTTTCTAATTGTTATAAGTTTTGGAATTAAAGTCCTCGGGGTCTAGCATGAAAGGAAAATCCGAATTTTCAGACTCAATTTCGTGTTTTTGTTCATGCGGAAATCGGCCCAGTAAACAGAACTTAACATTTACTTTATCATAAATCTTACCATAAAAGGCCAAAGAAATGATATAAAATATCTAATACTTTTAAACGGTATGTATCATGTACTTTTAATATCAAATATGTGTTTCGTTCAATCTCAAAATTTCGGAAAACTATTAATGACAAGCCCTCTGATTGCATAGTAATTAATACCAATGCTTTGTAATTTCTTAAAAACCTAATTTTGAAAGGAATCAAACAACAAAACAACGAAATCCCTTAAATTAATTCAAATTAGATGAACTGTTCTGACTGTTATTTACTAGCTGTATCCTGCGGCTTTGTCCGCGTAAATTAGTAAGTATATAAAGTATCCTATGAGCTAAGTTAGAATATAACCTACCCGTGTACCTAATTTCATTCAAATCTGTTCAGTAGTTTTGTGTGAAAGAGTAACAAATATCTATCTATTCATCCACACATCATTATAAACCTTTGCATTTATTGGATTTTTTAATATTATCAAGTGTCTAATCATAAACATTTATAAAATTTTTACTTAAATATTAGGTTGAAAAATTTTGCCTTCCAAATACTCAATAGGATTCGAACCCGTATCTCACAGCTATTCAAACTGAGTATGAACTTTCAATTATAGAAACCCATATAATTTCATTTACGAAAAGCTGTTTCATAGAATTGATTATAAAAATATATACGACCAAAATTTTAAATTAAAACATCTTTTTTCTTTTATTTTTCTATTATTTATTTCCATTTTATCGATATTTCTCCGAAATATTGATTCGATATATTAATTAGTGCGTAGTTACCCAAAATCAAAGGATCCATCCGTGTTCACGGTGTTGTAATCACCATCATTCGTCCTGGACTTTCCTGGGATCACCTGAGTCCTCGCTATAGCGCACACACACACAAATATCACACTATTCTGAGTCCAAACCATTTTAGCACTTATTTTAATTAACTAACATATCATGTCTTAGCACACGCTGTCTTCAATCCAGGGAGTATGGGGTATGACTATACCGATAAAAAACAAAGGCCCTCTTATATATGGCGCTAAAAATGAACTCCGAACGGAGTCATACCGCGTGAAAACGACCGGACGTCATTGTTATTAAATTTAGGTTCGAACTCCACTGTGCGGAGATTCTGTGATTTTGGAATAATTTTATAGCAAATGAAGTTGTACTATAATGTAAAATTTTCACCTGACTTCAAAAAGAAGAAGATTTTTAATTCGATTGTAATTTTTATGTTTCTTACCTCGTAACTGTCCTAGTTCCAAACTAAATTTGGAAATTATTTTTTTATCTGAAAGGGAATCGGTTCAGTTGTTTAAATAAATACTTCTAATGTATTAACCTGTATTCGAGCAAATAAAGTTATTATTCATTTATTAATTTTTAGATCAAAATAACTGGTTTTGTCAAAATTGAAGTAGGTTTTTTGTGGGACACAATCTTTTTATACTATTTATTAGACAGTGAGATCTTCAAATACTCTCTTACGCTTTAAAATTAATAAAACATAGATCTGTTTATGTTTACAGGCAATTATTACTTTTTTTCATCAGGGGCCGGTCAGTTTGTTAATCATTTTAAGTATCACAAAAAAGAAAGACTGTAAGGGACCTGCCAAAATTAGCAATGACGAATTATTAATCGGAATTATAATATAATGATGATAAATATGTAGATCGTTGAAATAATTGCCAGACATACGTAAATATCTAACAACTCATAAATCTTGATTACATGCATCTGTCCAAAATTATATAAGGTAAATATAATAATAGTATATATAAGGTATATATAATACTATTATGTTATATTTTTAAAACACTTTGTTTTCAATTTGATCAAAAATAGGTGCGTGTTGTTAAGGATTAATAAACAAATATTTTTAATATTATCTAATAAGAATTTTGGCATAGAATAGCTTAATACATAGCTTATTTTCTAGTATAGTATAGAGCTGTTTGTGTGCACAATCGTATATCGTGGAGATGCGGCTACCAGATACTGAGGGCCGCAACATCCTTTGTTCCGCCCGCACCAGGAACACATCACTATATTTATGAAAATCTCAATACATACATATATTTTGGAAAATAATGAATTACTTACTGGTACATAATACCATTTTCTCTTAAAAAATAAACTTAAAATTACATCTAAAACATCTAAATGGATAATTTTCCTACAAATGCCTTAACAAGAACAGTCTGTTCTCAAACGACTTCAAAAAAAGAGGTTCCCAATTTGTTTGTACTATAAAGTTTTGTTAGGATTGAAGTCTGAATACAATCAGTGAAACATAATACAATCTTATTACTACTCCATTATCATATTAGTTGTTAATAGACCACTGTTGAACATAGACCTTCCTATAAGAGGAGTTTTGCCAGTAGTTGCCACGGTTGGCAAGCGGGTTGCCAACTGCAGTTCAGCTTTGATGATCTTTTAAGGGCAACTCCATGCCTCATAAAAAATATATAGGTTAAAAATATGCATTAAAAGTCTTATCTCAATGTCCAAATGTTTTAATATAAATAGATATAGTAGTAATCACTATATTATATAAAACAAAGTCGCTGTCGCTGTCTGTCCGTCCCTATGTATGCTTAAATCTTTAAAACTACGCAACGGATTTTTAAGTTTTTTTTTTAATAGATAGAGTGATTTAAGAGGAAGGTTTATATGTATAATACATACATAATATAGTAAAGAAACACTGATAATTTTAGAGGTTTCTAATGTGGTGTGATGTAATGTGCATCCGTGCGAAGTCGGGGCGGGTTGCTAGTAGTAAATATTTAGAAATTGAAGCTATGTAATTATGTACAAAACAAGCACAATATATGGAATGTCCCATATATAAAAGATGAACTGTTCTCTACATAATTAATCGCTAATTGTTTTACAAATCTATGATTTTCTTAATAAAATGTCTAATTCAGTGTATGGAGTCTTAACCTAAAAGTACAGTTACTACGCGGCTGCGTGCTTGCTACTTGCAAGCCACAATTTTATCGTTACGATATAATAAGGGAGCAAATTATATGCATTTGTATAAAGATTTTTTTTTTAGTTATTGAATGGTAACCCTGCCTGCTCAGGGGGAAAGGGATTATTAGTAATGGAGACTAAGAATCATATTGCTAGCAATATATCCAACCAGGTTGACCTCCTCGCGGTTCCCCCTGGAAACTATTATGGTTAATTCCTAATGAATTCATCATGATGGGCTAACTGGCCTGTTTTCATTCTCATCAATTACCCTTCACTGGTGCTTCACCAGCGTATCCCGTTACCGTTCCATTTTCACCCATTAAAACAAAAACATTGCCTGCGCTATCGATATTTACTGGCGGGGCACCAGTAAGGGATGATAAGTGAAAATGAAACAGGTCAGCTAGCCCGTCGTGACAAATTCACCAATGACTTAATAACAATAGTTTTCAGAAGGACCCACGAGGAGGTCGACCTGATGGTTTATTTGAAGGTATATTGCTAGTAATAGAATTGCTAATTCCAATTACTAACAATCCCTTCCCCCCATAGTTTGGTTGTACGTGGACAGTGTCTACTTCATATACACGGTGAAGGATCTCCACTCATCCAGATAGATAGGAAGGAACTTTAGCTTGTGGCTATGGTTTTGGAGAGATGTGGTGGAAATCCATAGTATGATGGCATCATGGAGAGGCACAGAAATTTAACCCTTCTTTGCATGATTTTTTTATTGGTGAAATAAATCAAGGTGATATAATTCATCTTCAAAATTAAAGGAAAAATGGTTAAAAAAATTTACAGCTATGTTTTTTTTCTGCAATGGACATTAAAAACGTATCCAGATGCGATTAATTTAAAGGGAACTTATTCTTTTATATAATTTTTGGGCATTAAATGGACACTCCCACTATTATGCAAAGAAGGGTTAATATCGCCTTAATAAATTTACTATAGATTTTGTTCCCCTATCACATCCTTACAGTAAAGTAGTGCAGTACAGTAAGATGCTACGATAAATTATAAAAGAGACCATACATAATTTATGGCTGTGACGTGTTTGGAGGCCTTAAGTAAGTCATGCTCAATAAAATGTCCTTGCAAGTTGCTTGAGTCGGGTTATTGGGTTCCCAAAAATATGATTGAGCGTAATGATGGCTGACTCATCCGTCATATTTGTGAACGGGTGTTGCTTGTAGGGACTGGTCTGCTTTGGTCACTGTAACTGATTTATTTTATTTTTTTTTTTTTAATTATCGTCATCGTCACATCAGCAATGGTCCATTACTGAACATAAGCCTCTCCCTTGGAGAGTTTTGCCAGTAGTTGCTATGCTTGGCAGACGGATTGGCAACCGCAATTCGGCTTTTAGAGATGTTTTAAGAGGAATGCTGTTGTTCCTGCCTAGCCCTCCTTTAGTCGCCTCTTACGACACCCACGGGAAAGGAAGGGGTGGCCTATTCTATATCGGGACTACACGGACACGGTTTAAATTACATACAATATATTTTAAATTTTAAGATCTAATACTGCTTAGTAGTTTGTATTCACACAAATTCATAATTTGTATAATTAAACTTTTTGAAAAAAGCAACAGCTGAGTTTTTAGCTCTTTCTTCTTGGCTGAAATGGTGCGCCGAATGTTTGATAGAATCATGGAAAAATAACAATTCTAAAATATTCAAATCTAAGTTATCTTGAATAACATTTCTTTCTTTCTATATCAATTATAATTTGGTACTTTTTCCTTTCTGCTATTATACTAACAATGCTAATTAATAAAACTTAATGTAGTTAGTTAGTTATTCTTATAAGAAGAGTTCCTTTCTATTACCGTTAAACTTGTTCAAAGATTAAAAAAAATTTTGGTACTTTTTTTTGCTCAGAATTGTTTTCTTCTAAATCCTAGTCAGTATAAATAATAATAAGTATATTTCGCACTTAACCTCGCAATTGGACCATTGTACGTGGGATCTAGCAACAAAAAATGCATTAAAATTGCAAATTGATATAATCACAATAATTAACTAACATTGGGTCATTATCAAAGTTACAGGATGTTAAGTGAGCACAGATATATCTAATTATTTACACACCATACCATATTTATTTATTTATTTATTACATCCACTGGGTGAGCCTTACAGTCTTCCAATACGCTTACCCAGGAAAGCATGAGTACAATAACATATAAAAAGGAATATTACACAAAAATATTAAACAAAAAATAATACAAAAATATTAACCGTTAATGGTCCACTGCTGCACATAGGCCTCTATATTGGGGGGTCTGCCAGTAGGTGAATTTAGAGAGTGCATAACACCTAAGTCCTCAGGAATGGCAACGCATGGGGGGTATCATGGGTGAAACAGTATACTCTGTTATGTCTATGGCACTGCTTATGTCTATAGGCGACGGTTACCACTTTCCGTCAGGTGGGCCGTCAGCTTGTTTGCCATTCTAAGTTGTATAAAAAAAAAGGTGTCATGCTTTGCAGACGAATTGGCAATCGCAGTTAGGCCTTAGGGATGTTTTAAGAGGTATATATAGGAATTTCATCAATTCAGTATTCATATTCCTTTGGCAAATATTGTTTACTTTTGATGAATATGTGTCTAAGTCTATAGCATTAATTCAGATTTGGGATGCATTTTCATTAGGCCGTGTAATTCATTCTCCATAACTAATTAAATCAACTAAGGCCATCTCAGTTCTGGACAATCATCCGACTCGCCACGCCAGTTTTCAATTAATGACTTAAAGAAGTACCTATTAACAATCCCGCACACTCATACCCCGATATCGGCGTTAATGGATCCCATTCATTATCGACTTAATTAATTTTAACATCCGCCATTTGTTTTACTTCCTTGTCCAATCGTTTGTTCGCTGAGCCTTGTGGATGTTGTACAATGCTGTAATAAATGTCTAATTCTGATGAGAGGCCTTTGAAGGGTGCAGTTCCATTGTTATCCGACTTTGAGATTATACGACATTTCTACAATATTCTAAAGATAATTCCATG